AGGGAGTTCACGAGACTTGCAGCTTTTGTTCCTGATTTGGTCCGCACAGAGGCCCAACGAGCGCAGCGTTTCATTGACGGGCTTTACCCAGCAGTCCGTCATAACATCGTAGGCCACGGGGACACAGACATATGCACGTGCAGTCTCCATTGCTCAGGAGGTGGATGCTAGCCTTAGGAGGGAGGTCGTTCGTGGTCAGTCGTCTTCAGTTCCACCGGTGCCAGCTTTACCATCTACCCAGCCGCCCAAGAACAACAAGAGGAAGGATAAGGGTGCCCAGACAGATAAGAGGGCCCGGAAGAGGCTTCAGCAGGTTCCACAGTGCCCGACATGTGGACGACATCACCGAGGCGAGTGTCGCTTTGGTCAGGATGTGTGCTACTATTGTCACGAGGCCGGACACTTTACGAACCGTTGTCCGAAGAAGGCGCAGCAGCCTTAGCAGCCTCAGCAGCCACCGCAGCAGCAGCAGCCCCGTCAGCAGGCACAGAGGCAGCCTCAGCAGCAGCAGTAGAGGGGTAGGCAGCAGGCCAGAGTTTATGCCATCGATCAGGCAGAGGCCGAGCAGCAGCCAGGTACCATATCCGGAATGGTTATTCTTAATAATGTTCCTGTGTTTGCTTTGTTTGATACCGGAGCGACGCATACTTTCATTTCACGACGATGTCTTGATGCCATCGGAGTTCGCGCTGATACTGCTGTTGATCCTCTCGAGGTGAGTTTGGCCTCGGGAAGAAAGATAGTGACTTCAGCTAAAGCCTCAGATCTTAGCCTTTCCATCGGTGGCCGAGTTTTGCCTACCGACGCGTTTGTTCTCGAGATGAAGGACTTCGACCTGATTCTCGGAATGGATTGGCTATCCTTCTATCATGCAGATATCAAGTGTCATGACCGGGAGATTACTCTCTATCTTCCGAGAGACAAGTCGATTACTTTCTTCGGCTCCAGAAATCGTTCTTTGCCTCAGGTTGTTTCGATGGCGAAAGCCACTAAGTTGCTGCGACGAGGCAACTACCAGGGTTATCTGGTGAGCCTTGTTGATGATTCTCAGAAAGCACGTTCACCTCACGATGTTCCCGTCGTTCGAGAGTTTGTGGACGTATTCCCAGACGAGCTTCCAGGAGGACCGCCTAATCGGCAGGTGGAGTTCTCTATAGACCTTATTCCAGGGGCCGGTCCAGTATCCAAAGCCCCGTACCGTATGGCGCCAAAAGAGTTGCAGGATCTTAAGGCTCAGATTCAGGAGCTGTTACGACTCGGTTTCATCCGACCGAGTGTGTCACCTTGGGGAGCGCCCGTTCTCTTTGTTAAGAAGAAGGACGGATCCATGCGCATGTGTATCGACTACCGGGATCTTAACCGGTTGACGATCAAGAACAAGTATCCGCTTCCCAGGATCGACGACTTATTTGATCAGCTGAAGGGAGCCTGTGTGTTCTCATAGATTGATTTGCGATCAGGCTATCACCAGCTAAAGATCAAGGAGTCAGATATCGCTAAGACCGCTTTCAGGACTCGTTACGGCCATTACGAGTTCGTCGTCATGCCATTCGGTCTAAGCAATGCGCCAACAGTTTTCATGGATCTCATGAACCGTATCTTCCATTCCTACCTCGATCAGTTTGTTATTGTCTTTATTGACGATATCCTTATCTACTCGAAGAGTCAGAAGGAGCACGAGGAGCATCTGAGGGTGGTTCTCGAAACCCTCAGACGAGAAAAGTTGTTTGCGAAATTCTCCAAATGCGAGTTCTGGCTCCAGCGAGTATCCTTTATGGGTCATGTGATTACTCAGGCAGGTATCGAGGCGGATCCTTCTAAGGTTTCAGCTGTTCAGAATTGGTCGACACCGAGGAGTCCGTCAGAGGTTAGCAGTTTTCTCGGTCTAGCTGGATACTATCGCAGGTTCATCGAGGGCTTTTCCAAGCTCGCCCTCCCTCTATCCCAGCTGACGAGGAAGTCTGTGAAGTTCGAGTGGACTGAC